ACAAGCTTAGCAAAGCACAGGGACCACGGTTCAATCCCCCAGCACCACATGCCAGCCAGCCCGCCCCCTGGTGGGCTGAGCTGGCCACCCACCCACACACACACAATAAATAAATAAAATTTTTAAAAAAAAAGCCTGGAAAATGCCAATGAGATGGGCGGAGGGGATACACGCTTTCATCCTTGAAAAGTGGCTCTGAGTCTGTGAAGGGGGTCCAGGGACAGGAAATTATGTGCATCAGTAAGTCAGTCTTCCCGCCTCATGGTTACGTGAGTCATGCCATGTCCTGCGAATGGAGAAATTTTCTTTTCTTTTTTTGTGGCCAGCTCAGCCCACCCCAGGAGCCAGGGCTGGTGCAGCACGTGGTACCGGAGATTGAACTGTAGTCCCTGCACTAGCCTAAGTTTGCCTAAGCAGGCGCTTTAGACCACTGAGCTATTTCGCCAGCCCGAGAAAATTCTTAATTCAAACAATCCCTAGTAAGTAACTTTCACTGTAGAAACCAAACTGTTCAATGATGCATGCAGTGAACAGGGCACATGGGGCCAGGAAAATTCACGGGAACACAACTGTTAGCCTGCTTTACGTTTTATCACCTATATGTAGAATCGGACACACACTACTATGTTCTGCTTCTACAAAGTGAAAAGGTATGCCACAGCTGTTAAATAGTACATCTCTGGAGTGAAGACTCAGGTTTAAAGTCGGAAGTTTTCTTCCGGCTATGTTTCTATGTAAGTCACTTGTATTCACATAGGATAAATGTATGACCACTTTAATATCAGGCAATAAGCCTATGAATAAAAGATCTTTGCCTCTTTGGGCTGATATTTGGAATTTGGAATTTGTATGTAGCCATGCTGTCTAGCCCAAAAAATCTCAGAGGAGAATAAGAGTGTAAGATAAGAGGGGAGCAGCCAGCCAGCCCGTACTTTACTGTTTCCCAAACTACCCAGGTTCACAATAGTTAAAACAAATAAATAACCCCAAAGGCCTCTTCTGCATTCACCAATTACAGACTTAGGAGACAATCGAAAGTCCTGAGGAATCAGAGTTAAATCTCCTCTCATTTGCATCGTTTCTTGCAGTCTGTGGTTTTAACCAGTCATCAAATTCGAATGATTGAAATAATCTGGAATTTATCCATCTAGGAAAGAATAATTCCTCTAGTCCTGAGAAAGAATATCAAATGGAGGAGAAAAAGAGTTAAATTGCAAATGCTGGTAGAATATGAAATCTCCCTTTTTGGTAGCTACTTTTTTTTCTTCCTGTGTTGGTGATCGAACCTGGGACCTTCCAACTATGCTATATCCCAGCTCCTCCTCCTTTTTGAGACAGGGACCAGTTAAGTCATTATGTTGCCAGGGCTGGACTCACATTTGTGATTGTACTGCCTCAGCCTCCCGGAGTACTGGGATGACAGCTGCTAGATTTCTCAGCAAAAGAGAAAGGGCTCTACTCAGTTTGGCCATTGTCCTAGAGATTCTTGGATATCTCTAGCTGGGAATAGATTCATCTTAGAAAACTGAGTCCTAGTTGGCCCGCTGAGTCACCTTGTTCCTGCTGCTGTGTGGCCTGCTGTCTCCCCAGTCAGCATGAAATGGCCAAAGTTAAAGAAAGCAAGTAAACGCATGACTTGCCATAAATGGTATAAAATCCAGAAAAAGGTTCGAGAGCACCATCAAAAGTTGAGGAAGGAGCCAAAAAAGGAGGTCATGAGAAGTCTAGGAAACACCCAGGAATTCCTAATAGTGCTCCTTTTAAGGAGGCACTTCTTTGGGAAGCTGAGCTAAGAAAACAGCAGCCTGAAGAACTAAAACTGCAACAGAAACTTGATAGGCAGAAGGAACAAGACAAGAAAACAAAACTTGAAACTGACCCTGCTGATGAGCCATCTAACATTGAATGTGTGGAGGAACTTGGACAAAGCAAAACTAAGAGAGCCAAGCTGACCGAACAGAATCCAAAGGCAGCACATTGTCAGGAACTTACAAAGGTGATTGAGGCCTCAGATATTTTACTGGAGGGATTAGATGCCAAAGATCCTCTTGGTTGCAGATGTCCTCAGGTAGAAGAGGTGACTGTAAAGAGTGGACATAAAAAGCTGGTACTCATATTAAATAAATCAGATCTAATACCAAAGGAGAATTTGGAGAATTGGCTGAATTATTTGACAAAAGAATTGCCAACCGTAGTGTTCAAAGCCTTGACAAATCTTAAGGATAAAGAGAGAATAAGCAAGGTGAAGGTAAAGAGGAAAGCTGTCTCAATGAAAAGTAGTTTCTGCTTTGGCAAAGAGTGTCTTCGTAAAGTTGGAGGCTTTCAGGAGACTTACGGCAAGCCTGTCCAGGTAGGAGTAATTGGGTTCCCAAATGTGGGGAAAAGCAGCGTTACTAATAGCTTTAAGTACAAACGAGTATGTAATGTTGATATATGCATGGGGCGTACAAGGAGTATGCAGGCTGTTCCCTTGGACAAACAGATCGCAATCACAGTCATAGACAGTAACTCCTCCATGGCCCTTGCTCTGTGGAGTCCAGCAAGTAGTTAGGTGGTAAAGCCACTGGAGGCTGCCAGTGCCACCCTGTCCCAGGCTGATGCTAGACAGGTAGTTCTAAAATACAATGTCCCAGACTATGAGAATTCTCTGGAATGTTTTACTAATCTTGCTCAAAGAAGAGGTCTGCACCAAAAAGGTGGAAGCCCAAACGTTGAATGTGCTGCCAAACTGCTGTGGTCCGAGTGGACAGGTGCTTCATTAGGTTACTATTGCCAGCCCCCTGCATCCTGGACTCTTTCTTCACATTTTAATGGAAGTATTGTGGCAGACATGAAAGGGGACTTTAATCTGGAAGAACTGGAAAAGAACAATGCACATAGCATGCAAGTCATCCAGGGCCTTGTTCAGCCAGTAGCACACTTTTCTGGTCTTTGGGTCTGACAAATGGAATAATGGAGGAGAAAGACATGCAGGAATTACCAAAACAGAGGAGAGAGAAGAAACAAGAGGAAAGAGAGGATGACAAAAAGAAGTAAAAGATCTCAGATATGGCCCATATAGAAGAGACAAAAGAGGAGGCACTGCCAGAGGAATCTAGTATTGCAGGTGAACTACCTACAAGATCTCATTATCTTGGATGAAAAGACCAAAGAGAATGATGCTTATGACTTCAGCAGAGATTATATATAATTCATCCTTTTATATGGATTTTCTTAACATTTAAGGCAAACTGCTACAGTGTTTTGGTATGTCATACACTGTATAAACTTTGAGAATGAGTACCATGTACACATTAAAGCAAAATGATTTTTTAAAAAAAGAAAACAAAACTGAGGCTCTATTGAGTTTTCCCCTGAGTCATAGCAATCTATTTTCTTGGTGCATATACTTTTAATTATGCTAAGTATCTACCTTCAAAGTACTGTATACACCAAGTTGGTGCCACCCATCATTGCTACCCAGTGTTTTGCACTTAAAGGAAGCTGGACCTATGAGGATTTAACATAGCTTCTCACACTGAGCCCCCACGGGCCCCAAACAGCCTTGCCATCACAGTGAGCTGTGTGGGTGATTGCAGAGGCTCTGCTGCCCAACACAAACACGTCAGCACCTGTACACTCCATGTGTGCTTAAGATTTCTGCACCTTAAAGCAGCTAAGTTTAGCACAGTGGATCTCAAGTTTTGTAATGGACAAAGAAACAGAAACTTGTTAGGCCACTCACAGTCTTCTCAGCATCTATGAAGCATTCCCCCTTTACAAATTCCTGAAGTGTAGAGTGTTTTATGAGAGCCATGTGAAAATATTGGTTTAAACAAATGATTACTTTTTAAGCTCATGCTGTTGGCTGTCCAGAGTTCAGCTGCAGACATAGCCAGTGCCACCCACTGTGAGGTGAGTGGAAAGAAGGTGGGTAGGGAGGAGACTGGAGGCCAACAGAAGGTAGTGAGACAAGCAGCCCTCTGTATCTACAGATCCTGCCGCTGCAGGCTCTACTACCGTCAGACCAAAAATAGTCACAAACAGTTATGTCTGTACAGATTCTTTCACTCTCCTTTAAGCAATGCTGTATGATGACTATTTATGTGCCATCTACAGTGTGTTAGGTATTGCAAGGAATCCAGGGATTACTGAAATATGCAGGAGGATATGTAAAGGGTCTTTGTGCCCGGGTTACATAAGCACACATACAGAGATATTCATAGTCCAAGGGGTGGACTGTGCTAAAACCAATCCTGGCAGATACCAAGGGCTGGGGGTATTCTAAAAGTAAAGTTGTCTATCAGCAGCACAGAACAAGTCAGCAGAGGTCATCCTGGGATTCTCTAGTGTTCCCCCAGTTGAGCCCTTATGTGGACCTACTCAGTGTCCCCAAAACACCTAACAACTTTGAACACTAAAGATCAAAAACGCTAACCCAAATCAGCGCATCCTGGCCTTACCTGCCATTACAGAGTAAAAGAATAGCATGGTATAATCTACATGACACTGGCCATCACTGTGGTGACAACCAGCTAGGGCTTATTTTCCAGTTAGGTTTTACTTAGGGTGAAGACCTAAGCTTTGTGCAGAGAGGAACTGTAAGAACAGGAGGAAAGGCTTCTGGGATTCCCATCAGAGACAACGGCAAAGCAAGTCCATCTGAAATGGAGTTTTCATTTGGGGAAACAAGAATTGGCTGAGAGTTGTGTGAAGAAAGAGGTGCATCAGATTATCTGAAATTAGGACTAGCAAGATAGTCCAGCAGACTAAGTGCCTGCTTAGGCAAGTGCAAGGAACGGGGTTCAATCTGTGCTACCACATGCTGCACAGCACTGAGCCAGCCACTGAGATCAGGTGTGGTGGTGCACACCTGTAATCCCAGCACTGGGGAAGCTGAAAACATGAGGATCACTACGAGTCCGAGCTGCATAGTGAGACCCTGTACCAAATACATAGATTTTTTAAAAAAATATTATCTGAGATTAGTAATATACTTGACTTCTTTTCTTTCTGTACAGCCAGTGCTGATTTTCCGTACAACCCAGGACAAGGCCAGGCTATAAGAAATGGAGTCAACAGGAACTCAGCCATCATTGGAGGTAGGTGACGTATGAAATGGGCTTCCATGTGGCTCTTCGCTTGTGGAAAGTAATGCCTTTCAATCATATCATAGCCTGGGGAAGAAAAGAACTGTCTGTATTCTTATGTTATTCATCTTATTATTGAAATATGGCGTAAGGTTGTGAAATACAATGCGGAGAACCTGTGATTAGCAGAACCTGGCTACTCTTTCATGCTGACCTTTGAAAACAGATGCGATCACAGTAAGCCAGCCAGAGTCTGAATATTTAGGTCAGCAGTAGTGGCAACAGCTAGGATATGTCATTATCACCTCCACAGTTCACTGGCATCTACATATGCCAAATGTTCCAAGAAGCTTATTATAAAAAAGTGGAAGAATTTTCCAGTCTGGTTTCAGGTACCTTATTATATTTATCAGAAAGTTAATAAGCCAGAACACTTGAAATAGTCCAGTTTCTTCTTCTCACCATGGACAGCTGGAGAAAAGCCTGACTCTCCCACCAGAAATCCTAGTGTGTGGATCAGTGTAGAGGTGCTGCCACCCAGTGCCTGTTTCCGTCCCTTCTTCTAAGTTCAAAAAGATGATTCTGGGCCTGCGAGATAGCTCCGGGGACTAAGCTCCTGCTTTGGCAAGTGCAGGCACCACAGTTCAATCCACACGCCGTGCCAGCCCCACCCCCAGGGCAGGCTGGGCCAGCCACAGACTGGGCATGGTGGCACAGGCCTGTAATCCTAGCGCTGGGGAGGCTGAAAACAGGAGGATCACTACGAGTCCAAGCTACATAGTGAGACCCTGTACCGAATACATAAATGGGGGGAAAAAGATGATTCTTGCCTCTCTGAGTATAGCTAATACTGTCAGCATAATGAAGAACTTTAAACTCAGCCCATCGACATGGCTTAACCAAAATGCTTCTTTTCACAAGAAGAAAGCAGACACCTATAAGAAATATATAAGACTATACAATTAAAATATAGTCATAAGATGCTTTCTTTACATGGGCCAACACTCAGGTACAAGCTCATGAAGGACTCTATCCTTGTTGCTTTTTGCCTTTTAAAAATCAACTTAGTCCCAGTCAGGTTGCTGTGGTTTGATCCCCAGAACTCAAACCAGCCAAACCTGCCCTAAAGGCATTCGGAGAAAAAAAAAAAATCCTTCTAAAAATCACCTTAGTCCAAGCATAGTATGCCCCAGTAAGCGCAACAGACCAATGACTCTGGACAGACGCATCACCCTAGCCACCCCCGCAGTGTGCAGAACCTTCTCATCATACCAGAAAGATTCCCTGAGGGAATTCATCCTCCCCTTGCCTCTTGTCTTGCTCCCAACCAAAGGAGCCTCTCCATTTGTTTCTTGTCACTGTACCTCAGTTCTGGCTCCTTTCGAGTTTCATAACTGGAATCATAGAATGTTGCTCTTGCAGCATGGAATCTTATTGCTTGCGCCTTTTTGCCCTGCATGTGTCTGAGCTCCGGCAGCACTGACGCATCCATCCATAATCAATTTACTTTTCCTGCCAAGTTGTATTCCACTGAATGGACTGCTATCATTTGTTTTATCCACTTACCTGTTGATAATTTGTTGGTTTGTTTCCAGATTTGGGCTGTTAGGAATAAAGCTGCTATGAATATTCTTGTGAAAGTCTTATGAGAAAAAAAAAATTTTAATTACTCTTCTTCATTCCTGGTGTTATACATAGGGAATATTAAACTTTATTAAAAAATTGCCACATAGTTTTTCAAACCATTTGCATCACATAATCCATATCTGAGAGGTCAAGTTGCCCCCACAATCTCATCAGCTCTTGGTATTATCAGCCTTCTTGTTTAGCCATTCCTGTGGCTGAAGAGTTGTCTCGGTTAATTTTTTCTCATTGCTGGGACAAAGTAGCTGACACCCAAAATTAAGGAAGGAAAGGCTTACTTAGCTCATGGCTTGTGGAGGCTTCAGTCCATAAGGAGCTGGCTCAAGGCTGGGTGGCAGCACCGGGGCAGCAGTTCAAGGCGGCAGAAGACAGCAAAAGCAGCAGGAGCAAAAGGGGAGCAAACCTCTTTTTCCTCCGCTACATTATATTATAAGGAGGCTTGGCTGGCGAGATAGCTCAGTGGTCTAAAGTGCCTGCTTAGGCAAGCATAGGCAAGCACAGGGACTGTGGTTCAATTCCCTGCACCACATGCTGTACCATCCCCGCCCCCAGGGCAGACTGAGCTGGCAAAAAAAAAAGAGCTTTGAATATAAAGAGGGTACCCCACCGCCTCATGGCTCAGAATATTTACCACAGGAGGCCTCCGGCCCCCACTGAGCCACTTAGTTAAGCTTCTCAAGTTGACACAGCATATGCTCCTTACAGTAGTGTTACCTGTATCTCTGTGCTTTTAATGGGCATTATCTGATCCCTGGTAATGTTGAGCATAATTTCATGTGCTCAGTGCTATAAAGTAAATGAAGTGGCTATTGAAATCTTGCTCCATCTTTAAAATAAAAATTGTTTGACTTTTTGGTTACTAGTCTAGATACAAGTCCTTTGTCAGACATAGGTACTGTGCATGTTTCCCCCAAACCGATGGTTTATGAGCAAATTTGACTTGGGTTGTCCAGCCCAGACATTCCTACTGGTTTTCTTTTATCATGCTATCAATTATAACTGAAGCATGTTGAGCTATCCAACGATAATTGTCAGTTGCCCAAACCCTCCTGGGCCGTCAGCGTTTACTTCCCTTAGCAAGCTGTAGTGGCTGTGCACACACTTGACGCCAGGATCTCCTCGGGAAGAGCTGTTTTGCCATTGTAAAGTGTTCTTTTATTTTTTTTTATTTTTTTTCAAAGTTTTATTGACAAACAGCAATGAGACAGTTTCAAATCAAATCGGAAGGACAGTTTCAACAAATAATACACTGCATATATTCTTCTTAGTGGTTAATTGCTGTACAAGATGCGGACTTGTGATCCTATTTACAAACACCATTAGAACAAATCATTCTATTCATTAAGAGAATGCAACTATGTATCTATCCCAACCTCTTTGAATACACAGATACAAAATGGACATTGTTCTTGATTGCATCTAATAACCTTTTCCTTTGTCTCTTACTGATACAGCTATTCCGGCTTACTGATGCGTAGTGTTCGCATAAGTTCTTATCTACTGGCTCCATTATCTCTGTCATTTCTGAATATCCTTCTAATTATCCGATTTGTCTCCTAGTTGAGTGACAACTCCCTCCTTTTCTCCTCTTTGCATACTTGATGAAATTTTTTTTTTTAAAGCTAGACATTGTTAAGGTCCCACTAAGCCTGGAGGTTTTATTGTCTTCCTTTAATGAATACTGAGGTTTGTTCCAGCAAGGAATTAAGTCACTTGCAGCTTGGTATTTTGTAGTCTTCTTTTAAAGTTACTTGAGGGTAAATCCAGAGTAAGTTTCCTCTTGGTCTACTTTAGCAAAGCGTGCCGCGAGGTCTCACAGCTGCGGCGGGCTATAACATGAACGTCTCCCAGCTCATTGTGAGCTCTGCAAATGTCCTTGTCACTGCTACACTGTTGTTCTTAGCCTGGCCTCATGGAATTTTACCCTGTACCTGCACATATTAGCATTCGTCACAGATTCCAAGAGACAGAGTATGGAAGCTCTTTCTGGGCACAACTTTCTCTCTGCCTGCCCCACCTCCTGGCCTGGGGAGCACACTCACTGTGGGGTTTTTCCTATCCTCTCCTACCCTGCTGTCAAGAAATGGCTGCCAGTTAGAAAACCGTGGAAAGTATATATGCCCAATGCCTGAGAGCATTTCACACACTGTGTCCAGTATTTTAGTTCCTTTGGGCCGGGAGACAAGGTGCTCCTCTGAGTCCCAGGCCCTGTCTGTGGCCAGAAGCAGAGGCTGTGTGGGTGGTAGTTGCTGTCCTGTGCGGGAGACACAACCGCACGTGAGGGAGCTGGGCGAAGTGGCCTGTCTAACGCCTTCTCCTCCCTGTGCCCCAGGGGTCATCGCTGTGGTCATCTTCACCATCCTGTGCACCCTGGTCTTCCTCATCCGGTACATGTTCCGTCACAAGGGCACCTACCACACCAACGAGGCCAAGGGCGCCGAGTCAGCTGAGAGCGCGGATGCCGCCATCATGAACAACGACCCCAACTTCACAGAGACCATTGACGAGAGCAAAAAGGAATGGCTCATTTGAGGGGTGGCTGCCTGGCTGTGGGATAGGGAGGGGGCCCCAGGGAGGAGGGAAAAGGGCCAAGAGCACCCTGCTTTACACTCCTGAGCACATCCTTAAAGTATCAGCACAAGCTGGAGAAGGCAAGCAAGCACGGGAACGTTCCTGAGACTGACCACCACACACAAACAAGAACTTTTTAATATTTCTTTATAGCTGAGTTCCCCTCCTTCCGTATCAAAACAAAATAATACAAAACATGCTTTTAGAGTCCAAGCAATGGTTGAAATTTGTAGGTAAATTCTGTCTTCTTTTGTGCGTGTTTAGAGGTGTTTGGAAAACCCGTGGTAACAGGGCAAATTTTCTACATTTTTAAGAGCCCTTAGAACGTGGATATTTTTTCTTGAGAAAAACTGAAGCGCGTCCCTGCGGCCTCCAACGTCCTCTTCCTTTTGCATAGAGTCAACTTTTAACAGGCTGTTGTAGGAATTAGTTTGTGTTCATGGAATATTTCTTTCGGTGTCCTATAAGTTGGAAAAAGAAGAAAGGGGCGGGAAGAAACTATGTGCCAGTTTACAGCGAGACCTCAAGCAGGGCCTGGCGCCAGCTGTTGATGGAAGAGTGTGTACTGAAGCCTGCGACAGCAGCGTTGTAACCGACACAGCTGGAGAGAGGCGTGAAAGGGCCGGGAGAAGTAACAAACCTATACTGGGGCTGTTGGCTTTCCTTATTTTCTCTGAAGTCTACATTATTGTTCCATGGGTGTAGTCTTAGATCTATTTACTATCTGTAACTATCAGCTACAAGGCCATGGTGACCAGCTGTTACAAAACACTTTCCTCTCATCTTTATCTGCAGTACGCTGGATGACATTATCTATGTACATGCACCTCAATAGAGAATTAGAGCGAGACAGTACGATCTGTTTCCTCTGTTTCTTTTATACTTGTAGCAAACTAGTGTCCACACAACTTAGGTTGCGCTTGTTATTTTGCTTTAAATCTCAAAGGTTTATGCCCCTGGGATAAAATCCCAGCAGACAGAGCCCTCTGTCACCGTACAGTAAAGCCTAGTTATTACGGGCCTTGGTCTGGAATCATATGAGGGACACTGCCATGTTTTAAATCAGCCACACCATGTGTCATTCTACCCAAAAGAGACACCGCCACGATTCAGAGGACTTCAGTGATAGGCACCTTTGAATCCCAAGTTCATCACAAATCTGGAAATTGGGCCGGGGAGATAACTCAGTAGAATAAGTACTTGCCTGGCAAGTGCAAGGTCCTGAGTTCAATCCCTGGTACCGCAAAAAAAAAAAAAAAAAAAAAATCTGGAAATTGATCGGTGCTTCTCAAAGAATGACATTCTAAACAGTCACACCTCTTAGCTTAATCAGGAGCCTCGGGCAATTTATTCCAACCAATCACTCACTGATCTCACTTAAAAATAATAGAATCTATATAAAATGGAGACAACTTTTCCTACTGGACTATCCAAAAAAAAGTATTTAATTCATCCATTTTTTTAAAAACCACCAAATTTATTTCTAGAATGACTACTACTTATGATCACTAGACTCCACTCCAGGCTTCTTCCACTTAAAAACTTTTTTAAAAATTTTGTAGACTCCAACATATTGAGGAGTTTTCGATGAGCTTTCTTTCTCTTCTTGGAAGGGTTGAGATGAGGTTAGCAAGTTACGGATGCTCCTTTGCTGATGGCCTGGCTCAATAACATGGAGAATGTTGGGATTCCGTAGACATACTTTTCAGGATTTTTCCTTATGTCTAATTTATTGAAGGATCTCGGTCTTCTTGGTCCTGGAAACCTTATCCAGAGCCGCCGATGCGCCAGGGCACCTGTACCTGACATGCTCCGCAGGATAGTGAACCCATCCCTTCCCCTTCAAGCCAAAGTAACCGAGAAGGGAATCCTGACACCCTCACCCGGTAGCTTCTTCACCTCATTCTCATGAGTAGCTTTAATCTTAAGAAGTCGTGACCATTCTCCCATAAAATACATTTAAAGTGGAGAGAGAATCGATGTGACTAAATATCAGGATAATGTGATATGTAAAAATGACATACTGAAAGCCAAAACTATTTCATTTCAAGACAATTACTATTTGGGGTTTTTTATGTATTATCAAATTGAAAAAAAAAAAAACAAATTTCAAGCATTATGGTGAAGATTATGGATTTCTGATTTTTTAAGCCTACTTTACAGTATGACTTTCATACTTAACAGATAATACCAGAGGGACACTTGTCATATTCCTTATGCATTATCGCTGTTCTTTTCCTTTCTCTCCAAAACAATTAGGGGATCACAACCACCTAAAACAGGCCCTGGTGTGGAAACGGTCTCACCTTTTCTTTCTCTCCCTTCTCTTCCTTCCTCCTTCCTGCCACAAAAGATGCACAGCAAGGCTGAACCAAATTTGCACCCCCCAGACACTGGGCGACATCAGGGGCTGTGTTGCTCCCACACCGCCACCCATTAGGACGCAGGCACAGCCATGCCGAGTTTGTAGGGGTCACAGAGCGGCCACCAGGCAGACCACAAATGGCAGGCTAAACTGCCGAGGGAGCGCTGGAAATCTTGGTCTCTTAGGGGAACCTTGGATATTACCCAAATCCCCACACCTGTTTACAAAGGCCACATCCTGTACACCCCAAGTGGTAACTGACTTCATGATGTGAAGACGATGTAATGGCCCATTTTTCCAATTCCCTCCTCACCAGCTTAGCCCAAGGGAACGTCACTCACCATGATCTGACCCAATACTGTCATCCAGACCGCCCTCCTCCCAGATCTTGACACCTTATATTCCAATCAACTAAGCAGAAACAGGCGAGCGGAGGTCTCTTTCTACAAAACCAAGAGGATGTTTTAAAATTTTAGTGAACACTGACAGCTTCTGTAGGGTCTCGGTGCCCAAAGCATCTTCTCTGTGAAGGCAAGCATCTATGTTCTTTCAAGAAGCCAAGAGGTGTGGACTTGGACTGACTGAAAGTTTGTGTCATTCTATGTTCTCAAAATGCAGATTCTGTAGAGATTAAGGACACTAGTCCACGAGGTAGAACGCATTTTACTAGTAATACGATGCTCTGGCACATCTTCGTATTTAAGAATATATGTATCCTTACTTTCAACCAACTGCTGAAAAAGATAGTGTGAAAGTTTTTAATAGAGAGCTGGGAACAGGGTTTAGAGGGCTTGTGGTAGAAATTTGCTGCTGTGCTACACTGACAAACAAGCAGATCCTCATAACAGGAGCAGGAATCCAGAGGCACCAGAGAAAGCCCTGGCATGAGCCAAAGAATGGACCTTAATGTTCCTGTTAAACATCTGTCCAACAGCTGCCCCACTGGCTGAGAGTCCAAGGCAGACCCAAACTCCAGAGGGTGCTTCAGGGAGCCCATACGCAAAGGAAGGCGTTAGGAAGTGTCAGGAAGCAACCTCTATTTCCTTCCCTGATAGGATCTGTTCTTCTCCAGTCTTCTTTTTCTCCCTCCACCACCTCATCCCGTTCCCTAACACTCGTAGCCCCTTTACATCTCACACTTTCAAACAGTCAACACCAGATAGGAACCTCTTAACACTTTTCTTTTCCTTTCTCCATCCCATCAGGCAGTTTCAAAAAGAAAGGCCGCAGTTATTAAAACCTGGAGTCAGCCAGCCAACAATAGGTCCCAGAATCGCTCCTCCCAGGCGAACCACCTGACCCTGACATAAGTGAGAAAGCCAACAACCGTGTCCACAGTGGCTTGGGGCTAAAAGTCAATGGGTACCTCCTTTTTAAAATGATGTTGGGGACCAGTGAGATGGCTCAGTAGAATAAGCACTTGCCTGGCAAGCACAAGGGCCTGAGTTCAATCCCCAGTTCCACAAAAAATAAAAGTTGATAAAAGTAGACCCCGAGAGCCAGCTGGCCGAGTTCAAAGCCTTTCTCCCTTCCACACAATAAGAGAGCGTGACCAAGTTGAATTCTTGTCCCTCCTCACCTATGTTTAAGATGGAGCCACTTTTGCCTATGTTGTAAGACAGTTGTGAGGTTCCACTGAATCCTAGCCGCAGAGGACTTCAAAATCCAAGTACAGAGGCCATGGTCAGAGGAGACTGACCTGCTGGCTTGTGGTCGCCAAGCCATACCAAAAGAAAACAAGTGTCCCCATCTGGGAACGTGAGCATGAAAACTTACAGAGCATCGCTAGGTTATTCACCAGGTAACTTCCAGGGAGCCAATCCATCCTCCCACCCAAAGCATGAACCAATCGGCATGTTTTTTGCGTTCATCAAGCCCTGAATTCCCACCTGGCCGTGACCTACAGTGCACCTTACGTAGCCTTACACGTGCCCACGCCAGGCAGTTACATTTATAAGACATCCACCGCGAAGTAGCAAAGTGACATTTTCCTGTGGCCCAGCCGCTCTGTGCCTGCAGCCCCTGACCCTTCCTAGGGATGCTGGTAACTCTAAACTGCACTCCATGCCAGCAGTACTTAATTAAGCTCACGGTCACTGAAATGGGAGAAGCCTGGGGACAAGTCTTCTGGTATCTCCTACGGAGCAAAGATCAGCGCAGGGTAACAAAGACCTAAAGGAGCACAGGTAAAGACCCATATTTACAGGTTTTACTTCTGGTCCTGCTCATGGGGTCTGGGCCAATTCTGGGGCTCAGTTGATTTACAAGAGGTTACTGCTGGCTTCCGGGGAAACTGAGAAGAATGGGGATTCCTCCCCAGCAGGCCAAGAACCACCCCTCAGTGTCCCCAACTCAAAGCTTTCTTTTGCCAGTTGTTCTCAGCGAGCGGAGAGACTGCAGCAGAGGTTAGAGTCGAGGGAAGCTGGGCTGAGCCTTCTTCCCTTGCAGCGGGGAAGGACCCCACCCCTGGGAAACAACACAAAATTTCACTCTCTAAAAGCAACAGCATGTAAACTAGAATGAAAGAGGGAAATTATGTATGTATGCCTATTATTCTTTGTGAATGTCTTTCATTTATCTAAAGTTATATTAGAAGCCAGATTGATACAATAAAAAATTCAAACTAGTTTTAATTACCCTAAAAGTGATTCTTCGTGTTTTGTACCCCTGGGGGCTCTAAGAAGTCACCTTCAGCCCCAGTCAGTTCCACGCACTGTAGCAGGTCAGCCGGGAAAGTGAACTTCCCAAAAACTGCAGGAACAGGATCAATCCTCAAAGACAGGTCTTATTTGGAGATACCCAGGGAGTAACCTTTTGTTGCCACATATATCTTCCCAGTCCTGTTCTTCTAAAATAGCTTAATGGCTACCGTTCCATCTTTTGGATTAATTTACACACCATTTAATAGACTGTGAATAAAGTGGCCGGCGGAACACATTGTGATCCTGTTCTGAAGTGGGAGAGTTGTACTGGGTAATAGGTAAATGGATCCAGGCCACTGAGCTAGGTAAGAAGGGCGCAGGACACAGCAGGGGGCGGGAATCTTTCCAAGTGCGTCCACATTAAGAGCTTGGCTCTTGATCCCACTCTCTGAGCTGCAAAGCCCTTTCCTTTAATTAAGTCTCACTTTGGGGTATCTAGATGTATACGAAACAAGCGTGGGTTCCACGTAAAAGCCACCCCTCACCCCTCCACCCCACCGAACCCCGGCTCTCTGTTCTTTATCAACCCCTCGGGTCAGTCAATCACAACAGCACTCCAGCACATTTAGAAAGCATTATGCAGTGAGATCGTTTGTCACGGTGCTGCTTTGTAAATGGGACCCCACAGATGCCCGGAGAAGGACATCAAGTCCCTTGAGAAAAGGAAATGCACACCATAGAAGTTGATAGCCAATTTCAAAAAGATGGGCTGACCGGTGGAGGGCTTCATAGCCCCAGCAAGAGCTTCCGGGTCACAGCCCATTTGCTGGCTTTCCCGGTGCCACCGACCGCAAACCTGTACACATGGAAATGGAAGTTTCACGGCAGAGACATTGTCATGTACGAGGTGCACAGTAGGACAGAGTTGTAGGAGAGAAGTACATTATAATTTCACACTTTGTCAGTTGGGATGTGCCATGAGAGCCAGCCAGATAGCTCAGCGGACTAAATCGCCTGCTCAGGCAGATGCAGGGACAAGGGTTCAATCCCTGCCTGCCATGCCGGCCCCACCCCTGGGATGCGATGAGATGGGGATTGAGACTGGGCGTGGTGGCA